CCCAAGCGGACAGCACTTTGAGAAACAAGAACTTCCAAGGCTCAAGCCACACCAGCCTGACTAGGCGGCCGTTTACGACACATCCCTGTTCTTCGTGATCCAGTCAGTGGCATCCTCGAGCTTCTATTGGAAAATGCCCCCAGCTCGTTCTCCTCTTTTTCAGCACGTCCAACGGGTCTGTCCTTCAAGGGTGGCATTGGTGGTCAAAGTAGTTTCCCGCCTTTGCTTTGCTGATGATTGACATTCCAATGCGACAGCGCTGGGATAGCCCGGTATGAAGTGTGCAGCCCAGCTGATGAGATGTTCCCGCACCGAGAAGGCAGAAACAAAAAAGCACCACAGGTCCAGTGAGTCCATAGGCGGCAAGAAGAGGGCGAGGTACTATACCTACGCAGTGGTGGCAGTATCGCGCGGGCTGGGGCTGGGTCGCGCTGCTACCTCATCAAAGGGTACGACAAGAGGTACATCAGTCCAAGCCTTCTCCACCACTATAGCACATGTACCTTCTGTCCTTGCGTAGCCCGCCCCAAGCCACGTCCCCCCCGACTTCCCAACTTCCCAAGCCCCCAAATTATCATCCCGTCTTTCTTTGGGTTCCCCGTCGCCCATCGCCCGTCTCCAGCGAGATTCGGGCCTTGTCAGACTGCCGACCTTCATCATTATCAGCCCAGTTCCTGTCTCTGTGCCGTGACAGAACGTGTCGAGTCCTTGGCCTTTTGGGACGCGTCTGTTTTCCTTCCAATTCTCGTCGTCATTATTAACTTGGGAGCTCAACTTCGTGCTCCTCATCCCATCCGAAAGTCCGCACTGGGTTGGATCCAGCGTCGCAACGCCTCTGGCCAGCCTGCCTGATCCCATCGGGAACCAACCGCAACCCGCAACCCGCAACCCGCGCGCTTCGCGATACCCAATTCCGAGTCGTCAGTGAAGCTTGGAACGTCCTCAATCGTAGCCAGAGAAACCGAGCAATGAAGCAGTAGACGGTTCCGAAACCATCACATAAACGAACGACGCTATGGACGGCTCGTCGTATAATTACGGCTTCCGAGCCCCTCATACCAACTCGCCTTTGTGAGTGATTCGAATTCTTCCAGTCGTCAGCCTTGCTTCATCGAGCTTGTTTCCGCACCGACACATCACAACTCGGCCTCGTTTCTCTGTAGAACGGTACTGACCACATAACCCTACCTGTAGAAGCCCCGATACCCCGACGAGTGCCTCCTATAAGACCAACGTAAAGAGAACCAAGACCAAGAAATGGGTCGAGGCCAAGACCCAAAACTACGACGGCGATGACTGGGGAAACGACTTTGAAGACGAAGCCGATGACCCCGTTCCCGTGCCGCCGCTGAAACCCACGGGCTACCGTCAAGCCGGCCAGTCAACCAATACAGCTCTCCCGTCGCACCAGCCGCCAGCTCCGTCAGCTCCCCAGCCGGCCGAGCCTGTGCCTTCAATGCGACCGGCGCAGCCGACGGTAAATGAAGCCAGACCGACCTCCAGCCATCGTCCCACTGCCGGGCTTCCGCCTCTGCAGATTCAGAACTCAGCAAAGCCTACGCCTCCCGTCGTGCAGCAGCCTGTTGTGAACGACGTGAAGCCAGCTGCAACTGTGGCAGAGCCAGGCGCAATGGGTGCTGCTCCTGAAAGGGCTCCCCAAGAACCGCTTGTGTCACCACCTCCACCTGCCAGCGCTGGACTGCCTTCACGGATGAGCCCAGCACCTGCTCCAGCGCCCGTTCCAGCACCGTTCGCTGGTCGCCCAGAATATCCTCGGGGCACTCCATCTCCTACTGTGGGAAGCAGACGAACTTCGCCGGCCCCTGCCCAAACTCAAGCCGCGCGCTTCCCTCCTCGTAAGAGCAGTATGGGCCAGCAAGACCGTGATCGCCAGGCTTCCGGTTCTCGATCGAGCTCCACGCAGCGGCCGTGGATAGACCAACGATCAGCGTCTCCTTCCAATGCCAAATCGCCGGGCACACCGTCCAACACCACAGCAGCGCACTTTATCCGACCCTCGGATATCTATCGCCGGATGGATGACAATCAAGAAAAGGAGGGTGGATTGACGGAGTCGGGAAGGCCAAGCATGGATAGTGCCAGTGGCCCTAAGAGTGAATCTTCAATATCGGCTGCTAGCCCGCCAATTCCGGTAGTCGATGCTGGTGAGCAGCAGCCGATCCGCCGCAGTCTGGACAAAGGCGACGGGCTAGGTGTTGTCGATAATGCCACACGACAACCCATCCTGGCACCGGTGGCGGAGAGAAAGAGCGAGTACGGCTTCGATGGACTTCTAGCACAACCTCAGACCCAAGGTGTAGACCGAGGCCGACTGAGTCCTCCAGGAGGCATGCAGGAGAGCAACTTGGGTGTGCCAGAACCACAGTTGCAACGCCCGACTGCAGAAGAATCTGACCAGAACCGACGCTACTCCACAAGCCCTCGACTGCCCGACCTGGCGCGCATGTCCCTTTTCGGAGACGACTTCTTTTCGAACCCAGACAAGTATGCTCACGAAGCGCCTCCGATGCCGAGTTTGCCATCCCAGATCCAGACGCAACCTTCCGAATCTGCTTCTACGGCAGAGAAAGCGCCAGTTGTGGATAAATCTCCTGCTGCTTCGACGCCCGGTGATGTGACGTCTCCACTTCCCATCATCAGCACGACTCCGCAGCCAACCAACTCATCGTTGCCTGCATCTCAGCCAGTGAGCAGGGAAAGGTCGCGTTCACCATCCCAAACACCGCCAGCCTTGGAGGAATCCAGCAGATCTCGTCTGCCTTCGCAAACTACTCGGCCGTCAATTCCTGGAGGCTGGGTCACCGAAACACGCTCCATTGCTGATTCTCAGTCTACCTCCGCCGTTGCGACGCCCGCTGCTACTGCCGATCGGAAGCCCATTCTCGGTGTGGATCCTGGCGAAGTTTCCCCCATCACCGACAACGAAGACGACAAGTTTGGCGATAGCGGGGTAGCTACCGTGAAGGATACGGTATCTATTCCTGTTTCCATCCCCGAAGCTTCGGAACGGGCCGCTCAGATGGAGGGTCGTGTTGACCAGGATGCCGACCTAAAGACTTCGGCTCCTCTGAACACTCGCGAATCAGGCAGCTCGTCATTGGATTTTGCGGCACCCGAGAGGCTGCAGCGCGAGTCCACCATGAGCACCATTACCGACCCATCCCCTGTCAAGGAGAGCGATAAGTTGAGAGAAGAGATTATGCGCAGCCTCAGTCCTGTCCGCCCTACAAGTCACGAATTGAACAACTTCAACAACCACCAGTCGCTGAGTCCGGCCGTCGACAACAGCGGTACTCGTGAGAGCGCCTATCTCGACAGCGTCTACGACGACTATTGGACTGCAGGCGATGACAAGCCCGATGTGCCCAGCCTGCCATCACAGCAGCCAGAGCAAAAGAGGGCGCTTACCCCCAACAAAGACATCTCTGACGTGCCTCCTTTGAGCCCCCGTAAAGACGCCATGGACAAGCCTCCTGCACTTGGTCGACGATTCTCATGGGAAGCAGGAGGAGAGCAGGTTACGCCAAAGGCCTCTGATGCTCAGAAGGACCCCCTCGCCGAGCCTCACTCCCAACCTGGTGATGCGGGCGAAGACAGCGTGCCTCCTAAACAAGGCGGCAGCGAGCTGCAGGCTGCACAATCAGAGGTGGCTAGCGACTCCGAACGTACGCCGCTCGCTACTGGGTTAGACGATGGGCACATTAGCGCGCCGCAAGACGCGGGCGCGATGTCTCATCAAGTGTCGCAGGTTAGTTCGGCGCCGAGAGATCGCATGGACTCCGAAGTGATCGAACCGCCGTCACCCGTGTCAGTCACGGCCGATAAAAACACTACGTCGGCTGCACCCACCCGCCGACTGTCGCTCGCGGAAGAAAAGTCAATGGCTCGGGTCTCATCAAACCCCGTCTCACCCAGCCCACCACCCGGCGATCATCCTGCCCTAGCCCAGGTTCAACCCGAGCCTGAGCCAGAGCCAGAGTCGTCCGAGGCTGGCCAGGCACCTGCATCTCCAGCGGCTCCTCAACGTCAGTCGACGCAGCCAGTCAAGATTACAACGTTCAAAGAGATCATGGACCTTTCCAATGCGAAAGACAGGATTCAAAAGTACAATGAGACGCGCTCACAATTCGCGTCGATGGATTCGGGTCTGAACAACTGGTTGGAAAACTTAAAGGCTCAGCATCCCGAGCACGCCAACGCAACTGCATCATTTGGAGTTGGCGCTCCTGGTCCTGGTCAATCGCAGTCATCGCCAACAACCTCTCAGCCAGCTTCTCAACAGCCTTATTACCAGCAGTACCTCAACGCAAGCAACCCCAACCTCGCGGCGGGAGCTTCGGGTCGGCCTCCTGCGGGAAGTGCGCCCACTGGTTCGTCTCATTCGCCTTCAAGTGATTTTAAGCATTCGAGCGGTCAAGTTGGGGCGAAGGGCAAGGGACTATTGCTTGCGGCTGGCAAGGCGGGTAAAGGTCTATTGAGCAAGGGAAAGAACAAACTCCGTGGCACTGGGGACAAGGTATTTCTTTAAACATTCCTCTCAACTGGGATCATCACATCACACAGGGCATGCATTCTTTCTAGTTTGGTTGAAGGGAAGGATCGACAGTCTGATCTGTCTCGAGCAACCCCGTTTTCCCATCGATTTTTTCTCCCTTCACTTTTCTTCCTCACTTTCCCCCCTTGGTAATCACTTATGAGTTATGTGTCTCCCTTTCTGGCCAGAATGACGGGACTGTATGATTAAGGAATGCTACGAAACTTTTTTCTATTACTGCACCATCATGTAACCCCTGTGGTGATCTCGGACACTCTAAAGTCCAACATGGCATCTTATATGGTGAATTATCTCTAATTGTGTCTTCTCCGACAGAGCGACTCATCTCCCCCGCCGGCTCAACCCAAGACTAGAGCCGAGCGACGTACTTCATGGGGCATAAGCCTCGGATCGCGTTCGTCACCTCGTGCCGACAGCTACGGTCATGCCCACTCACGGTCGCACTCGGGATCCGTGTCAGGCCCAACTCCACAGACCATCCCGGAACATCCGGCATCTCCGACTCCACCGCCTCAACTACCCCAGACCTCACGTACATCCCCATTTGATACCTTGACTCAGGGTAGTGATGATCAAGCTTCGGCTTGGGCCCCACCGCGGCCCCATACGCCGCCCCAGCAGTCTGCCGGACCTCCCGGAGACAGTGATTCGGAGCCGGTATCCCCCGTCTCGGACACGCACTCCATATCGACGACGCCCCGCTTCCATGCTAAGGACACGCCCGGCGACGACTATTCTGTGGGAGGTGACCTCCAGGTTCCTAGACCGATCAGTAAGACCCAGCCGTCATGGGACCCTTTTACGGGTACACCCTTGGTGGAAGAGGAGGGGTTCGAGATGGGACAGTCCACGGATCCGAGCCCTCCTGCGTCTCATGCAGGTCAAGGTCAAGCTGCTGCTCTTCCTCCTCCTCCTCCTCCTCAAGCCACACAAGCCGCCACCGCTGTAAGACCACGCGCGAACACGACCGATGACCCATATGACGACTGGGTCGTTGTGTCGCCGCAGTCGCCTCCTTCTGGTCAGATCCACGTAGTATCTCCTCAGTCACCGCCACAGGCACCGCGGTCATTCGAGCCCACCGAATCAAGCAGGGAAGTTGATGAGGATGATCATGATGCGACTCATGGTTCTAGTTCAACGGGTCTCTTTATTGTGCAGCCGACTCAGCAGTTGCAGCCGGTTCAGCAGCAGCCGGTCCAGCAGCAACCGATACAGCAGCCACAACAACAACAGCAACAAACCATAAATCATCTTCCATCACAGCAGACCTCTCCCCAGCGCCAGTCATCCTTTGTTGGCCTCCCGCCCATCAGGCGAAGTTCCACATTTGGTATCAATCTGACCAAGCGGGCGAAGAAACGCTTCCCCTTGGATGAAGACGATGAGAACAACTTCGTTTCTTCTCCGGTCAACACGACAACGGATCAATATGGCAACGATGGCGGGTCTTCATCCCGCTTCCAGCAAGGGGAATCCAGCTGGTCTGCACAGTCTGCGCAACCCATGCGCGTCGACACTGGCCCACCACGCTTCCGTAAAGACAGCAACATGTCACACAACGTTCTTTCGGCAACGTCAACACAGGCGGCTACGCTGGCGACCGAGAGCAGTGGGATGACTGGGCAGGATCTCAGAATCGACGATGAAAAGAGACCTCTGGGGCCGGGAGTAGCAATGAAGGGCGCCGGCCGCGTACCAGGGCCCATTGACACAAGAGCAGCGATGCAACAGAATGAGGGTGGAACGAGCGGTCGGCCGTATGGTCCAGGCATGCCTCCTCATCAAGGGATAATGTCCCCAACTTTCGGAGGCAACCCGATCCATCACCTCCCTCCGCAAGGCCCGTGGAAGCTTGAGGAGTCGCATTTGTCTGAGCCACTCGCAACCAGCAGAAACCGGCAGTCGGGAGGATCTCTGTCACCTCACCAACAAACCTCCTTCGGGATCGATAAAGAGACTGGTGTGCCTTCAACGGCGGCGCAACGACCCGAGACGCAGCTGCCGCCTAGACAAAAATTCTCCGAGGTGCCTCCATCGTCAGCGCAGCGTTATCCTGGTCTATTCACCCCGCAAGCAGGATATCAGAACCCCAGCTCTCCCACAGGGCCCCGGGGCTCGGAAGACCTTGGCCAGCATTTTTACAACCGCGATTCTGCCTCGCTGTACAGGACGCAAACTGGCGACTCCGAAGTCAGCGGCTTCGATCCCTCAACAGATGAGGACCGTGGCCGTAGGCGGAGCTCTGGCTTCTTCAAAGAAATCGGAGGTCGCATCTCGCGTCACACCTCGCGGGAACGGCCAGCGTCCAAGGCTGAGAGTGGAGCGCCAAGCTACATGGCCGGTCCAGACGTGCGAGGTGATGCCGTGTCTGAGGCGAGTGTTGCCACAGGGGAGCTACAAGACCGCCAGAGACGGCGTTCAAGCTTCTTTCTTAACTTACGGGGTTCCAAACCTTCCGATGTTGGAGGACCCCATGGTCGCGATGGCATTGAAGGGATTACGCCGTCACCAAAGGCGAGCCCGAACCCGGGTGGTCCATCTCAGGTCCAGCAGCCATCACTGGGAGGGCCTGCGGAGAGGAAACGGTCCTTCTTCGGTCCAGGTGCCGATCAATCCGCCAACCTCCCAATGCCCAACCTGTCTCGTTCGTCAACGTCCACTGCTGGATATGAAGTAGCAAGCGGAGCAATGGGCCCTCCGAAGAAGCGCTTCTCTGGCTTTACGAGCAAGGTGTTCCCTCGCAGTTCGAGTCAGCAAGACCTACAGGTGCCACAGAAGCCTAGCACATCTCATTCTACTGCGACATCGACCATGTTTGGTCGTCCGCCAAGCACGCAAGGAAGTCAACCTGGCAAACCTAGCCCCCTCGCCGCGCATGGGAGAGAGAGGAGCAACACCACTGGCACAAACCAGCTTTTTGCACAGGAAACCCTGGTAAATAAACCGTTGGGTAACGTTGAAGATGATGAGCGAGGCAGGAGAAGTTCAGCAGGCGGGTTTCTCTCTGGGCTCTTTGGCAAACGCGCCGCCAACAAGACGACCGAGACCCAGCACGTATCCCCTCAAGGACAGGACCAGAACGCAAGTGTTCCGGCGCAATTCAGAGTGCAGCAGCATACAGGTCAACAGATGCCGCCGTCAAACCTCGGACCAAGGCGCGAGGATGAAGGCCAGCCGCTTATGCGAAGCCCGCCCCAGGGTTTCGGCCAGCAGCAACAACAACCGGAGCCGCCTCGCTTCCAAGGCTTTTCCATGCACCCGGGAGCTGGCGCACGGGTTCAATCTCAGCCTCAGTCGCAGCCACAGGGACCTGAACTTCATCAGAGAAAGTCCAACGGGTCTTTCCTGCCCTCTCCTCAGCCGTCGCAGCAATTCGCTGCAGTGACAGATCAACAGAGAAGCACCGCATTGGAAGAAGTGCGAGTACGCCCGGTGTCTGACTTGCAGAGCGAACGCCGTGAAGCCCCTGTCGCGCCTGGCCATGAAGCGCATGATGAACATGTCTCACGGAGAAAGTCCAGTCAGATTTTGAATATGGAGTCGCATCCCTCACAATCATTTGATGCTCCGGCGCCCCCATCACAGAGAGAACAACCATCGCCGGGACGTCGCCATCTCACTGAGCAGAGACAGCCTTCTCTTTCATTCCTGCAGGCTGAGGAGCAACTCTCGCGCCCTGAGCAACCAGACGACCAGACCGAAACCCACTGGGTTCCTCCCGGATTCTCGGCCGAGCCAACGCCGGAGCCATCGATCAGACACAGCTACGGACGCGAGAACTCGCCGGGGCCCCAGACACCGCCTCTGGGCCAGGGGCAAGTCGCCAATCACCAACAGGCTCTCGGCGTCCAGAAGTCTGGCCACACCAGGCGAATCTCGGAGCAATCTGCGTCGCTGCTGTCTCCCTCCTCCAACTTCAGGGCACAATCTCCCAATGGGGTGGCCGGCCAGTCTGATAACTCGCAACGATCCTCGGTATCGAACTCTCCCAAACCGTCGTCTGCTGCCCAGATACCGGCTCCGAGGGCACCTTTGGCATCTGAAAGCCGAGCGCCCCCGCCGGACCCGTCCCAATGGCGTTCGGCGCCTGGGGCGCCTGCCAATATGCAGCAACCCGATGGAGTGGGTCAGCAAATGGCTGGAATGACTTCTTCAGGACGTCCTCAGCAGCAGCAGCAGCAGCAGCATATTCAGCAGCCTCTCCATCATCAACATCAACAGCAACAGCAACAGCAACAGCACCCACATCAACCTCAGCATCGGCACAAGGGCTTTGATGCTGAAAACAGACCTCCAGCTCAATTCTCCCAAGCGTTTCCCCCGCCGAATCAGCGTTCTTCGCTCCCCTTCTCCCAAAGCCAAGATATGCAGTCTGGCGGTCAAGACTTCAGTGCAGATGGTCAACAGAACCCGGTATCCAAGTGGTTCAAGAATAGGACCTCAACCCAACCACAGCCTCGGCCTAATCAAGGTCCTCCGAAAGAGTCGACAACCAAGTCCATTTTCAGTGCGTTTAAACGATCATCCAAGCAGCCAGAACCTCGGCCTCAGCAGCAGATGCCACATCCAAGCCAGATTCAAAACCTGCAGCCGCAGCCGCAGCTGCAGCAGTCTCACAAGAGCCAGGGCCAGCAAAGGATGCCGCCAGCTGTTCCGTTATCACAGAGAAGTCATCTACCACAGCAAGGACCTCATCACATGTACCAAGAGCAGCGCCCATCCATTAGTTCCTTTGAGCAAGGGCCTCTCCCTCAACGCGACATAGCTGGCAGAAGCCCCGAAGCGATGCAGCAGAACAACGGAAGATTCTCAAGCCAACAAGACGTACCTTTCGAACCTGTCATGACTCGGGCAATTCCGAACGGCCCTGAGCCAAGCGGAAGCGTACGCTCCAACCCCCAACCCTACGTTGAACCTCAGTACGACCAAGTCCCTATTCCTCAAGGATATGCTGCCGTTCACGGCGAAGGAGGCGTTGCGCCATCTCCCTACGCCCTCTCACGCACCTCACCACCGGTCCAGTATCCTGCGTACCACTCACCGCAGGTGCCTCAATGGGGCCAGCCACCTGTTGCCCAGAGACATCCGTCTGAAATGTCAATGTACAGCCACCCCAGCCCTCCCATACAGCAAGGACAGCAGCTGCTTCACAGCCACCCACATGGAGGTGCATGGCCCGAGGGTGACCGGCGCGTCAGCATGGCCTCCCACCAGTCCAACATTTCGCATGTCAGCCATAGCACGCAGGCGGCCCAAGTCGGCCCGCAAGGTGATGTGCCAATTCCCAATCAGCAACACCAGCCACAACAAGACACGAGAGGGATACGGTTAGTGAACCAAAACGACAGCCGTATAGCGGGTCCGGACTCGCAGTTTGGTCAGCAAACCATGCCGCCAACTCAACAGCCTCAACAGCAACGATACTCCCTTGTCGATGCTCCGGTTCCAGTCGCAGCATCTCCACAGATACAGCAAAGTAATAGTAGAGAGCCTCAGGGAAAGCAACAGACCAAGTCTGCTGAAGTGCAAACATATGTCAGTAATACGGTCCGAAATGCACATGACAAGCCTTCGTCTCCCCGTCCTCAGGAGCACGCTCAGCAGACGCAAGGACTTGCAATTGATGCTGGTAGTATGATGGTCAACAACTCTCGTAGCGTTTCCGACGACAAGCAAGGTCCGGCGGAGAACATCGTATCGTCTGAGCCGACAGCGCCAGCGCCAGCACCCACGGCACCTCGCCTCAGCGTCAACGTACAGCAAGCAAACCAAGAACCCAAGGACAACAACGACCTCTACGAATCCACACCACGTCTGCCCTCCAACCCTTCTCAGCCGCCAGCAGCACAGCCTATAGTCGCCGCGAATACGGGACACAGCATGGTCAGCGACAGCTCTGCTGACGAAGCGCCCCGAAACGCCAGCCACGCCAACGGCAGCGCCGGGACCGCGGCCACGACTACCCTGGCGAGGGGCAAGAGCACGAGAGCCGAGCTGGAGGATACGGAAGACGAACGTCAGAGGACCATGCGACGCGAGGCCCAGGAGGAGAAGATCTTGGTCGACCCGTACGAGGAGCTGTCATCCGGGGGGGTCAAGTATAGGAAGGAAGAGGAGCCGGCGGATGTGCCCCAGATGAGTGCGACAAGTTACCCAGGCCAGGAGTGGAATCCTTACGGAGCTGGCGGGTTTGAGGAATGGGATTGAGTTTTCGAGTCTTGCGCATGAAAAGTATCTCGGCGAACGAATCGTTCATGCGCTCTATCACACATGGGACATGATAATCTTCACTTATTCCTTTTTTTTTCGAGCGATGGTGCAGGGCGTTGGACGGATTTTCTTGTTTTCACTTAGATTCACGCTCTACAATACCCGGTGCGAACAATTGCGACAAACAACGTACTCCGTATAATTCTCTGTAATATTGTAAAAAGAAGAATACAACCTATCCAATTCTGTATACACTTGCGACCTATTACTCGCAGACCAAATCCAGCATCAATGTCCAACTAGACACGCTACAATTTTTCCCATGACATATCTCCCATAATTCGTCCACTCCCTCAGTTCTTAATCGCCACGTCATAATTCGGCGGCAAGGACCGTCTATTCCCCGCCTGCTCACCGTTCCAGTACGGCGGCGCCTCGGTGACGCCAGAGGTATACCTAGGCGGCAACGTCGCATTCGAAGACGACCTCCTCACCTCACCACTGCCGCTCCTCACGGACTCCCTCCACCGCGAAAACGGGCCAGACATGAACGACACCCTCTTCGAATCACCCTCTGTAATTTGAGCCGGAGCAGGCGCGGGGGCGGGGGCTGGGGCAGGCGTGCTCTTCTCCATATCCTTGACGTTCATCTCAACGGCGCCCTTTTCTGGGTCTCTAGTCGCTGGGTCGTTGCGAGGAGCGGCGGGAGGATCTCGGAAGGGGTCTTGGGGGACGTTGTCTTGTGGGATGGCGCGCCATCTGCCAAAGGCGGGACCGCCGCCGCCTGATGCCCAAGGCGGGCGGAATGGTGGGCCCCCGGGGCCGGGGCCGAAGTGGCGGGGGCCACCGCAGCCGCGGGGACAGCCTGCGAGGGCGCGTTGTTCGAGCCAGGCTTGGCGGGCTGCGCGGCGTCTTCGGCAACACATTGTGATTGTTGTAATTTGAGTGTGCGGGGGTTGTAGTTGTTGATGTTTGGTTTTTGAGAAGAGAAGATGGTGTTTGGATGTGTGTCACTCTGTACCTTGATGTGCAAAGCTGCGGAGGTTTAATAGGGACTAGGTGGAGAAAGGAGGCCGGGAGTCGAGCTTGATATAGACCTGTCAATGTCGCCAGGGAGGATGTCTTCAAAGTCGGGGGTCAGGGTGGCGGAGAGAAATGACATGGGCAATGACGAAGGGACGACCGAGGGAAGACGCGAACAGCTTGAGCATGGCAGCGAATACGGGGCCAAGACATAGCATAGAATGGCAGTGAAGAATTGGGGGTCCGACGGGAGAAACTTCAGATGAAGGCGTCGCGGCTCGATGCGAGAGGTATGTCAGTGACTGGTGAGATCCCATGGGATGTTTCTGCGACACGCGTTGTCGGATAGACTTTCACCCCGCGCCCCCCTCCATCTGTCTAACATCAGCGAGATGACGACGGGGCTCTCGCATTTCATGTCTTTCTCATCTGCTATGAATCAAGTCGGGGTTTTCTTTTACACACATATTCTTCCCCAATGTCTCTAAACCTGACCTATAACAAGGGACGTACGTGGTGGACAGATCCGACTGCAAGTGGCGGCGGGCATACTAAGGTAGTCGTCCTAGGGTTGCTCCCGTCCTTGCTCGCACTCGCATCCGCCTAGTAGTCGATCCCAGAGTCCCGATGGGGTATGGTTGCTCCGGCACTAGCTGCCGTCGAGGCGTTGAAGTCGGGGAATGTTCCTCCGCAATTGGTGACGGGGGGGTTGCTAGGCGGCACCGGAATGCCCTCCGCTTCAACGCGTGATACTGAATTTTTCATGATTGAACTCCCCAAACTAACATAAGAAGCCAATTCCTCTTGTTATTTCAGTCATCTAGAGAGATATCTAAAGCTGCACGCCATGAGGCTTCCTAGAGCTGTTCCATGCGTGTTTGTGCCTTTACGCGCAGCCCAATATGTCTTGGCCTGTTGGAAGGAGATTCCCAGAAAACTATCTCATCAGTCGACAATACCACGCTAGAAAGGTGAAAGCTACATGTCCCCCATGCGATAACCATGCGCCACAACTCAACAGCCCGAATCCCACTCGCCATCATTGCCCAACTCCGTAACAACTCATCCCATCTTCTGCATGAATCCCGCAGAGCATGAGCCTCAAAACCAAAGCTCTTCGCCACAAGCAGCCTTGCTATCTACTTGCCACTTTCAAGCACGAACTACCCTTCTCGTGGCGCATGTAAGTTGGGATGAAGAAGTGGCGGTGCTACTTACCTTTGTATCTTGATCTCCTACGTTGAACGACAGGCCAAAGATATCAGAAAGCTCTATATCAACTACCTTGGTCCAACAAGCTTGAGAGCTTGAAGAAAGGCAACCAGCGGGAGTAAGGTGTGTTTTTTGTGCACAAAAGGGAACAGCTTATGCTGTTTTTAATACGACTTTATCTTAGGGAAGACTTTATACTGTTTTCTAGGTCTACCTGTCAACTCAATCTCTATGCTAGGAGCCAGCCACCTTCTTGCATTCATAAGTGTGTATCCATGTACTGCGGCTCATCCAGAGGCCACACAAATATGTGCACTTTCTAAGATGTAAGCAACGGTCGGAACGGCCGGCCTGTCCTCCACACATTAGTGCCATTACAAAGATAAGGGTTGTCTTCTTCTTCTTCAAATGAGCATTCCCGCTAACGCCCAGTAATCGTTTCTCATGAAAGTTCGTAAAGGTCAAACATGTTGACCGTCTATGCAGTGCAACTCCACAACAAGGAAACCAATGCCGACATAGTTTCGAAATGGCGGCGCTTGTGGTGTCAAGGTCTGATGCAGTATGGTTGTGATTTTGGTTCTGATGTTCGTAATGGTAGCTTAGGACTTTTGGGTTTTTTCCTCAACAGGAGAAACATTCTCCTCTCTGGCTTCATGCTCGTCTTTTTCGTGGATGGGGGAAATGGCGGTATCAGTGTGTTTGGTGCTGGTCTCAGGCTCGGCCATGCTCCCGGGTGTCATTACACTCTCTTCTGGAAGTTCCTCGGTGGGGGTCATGAGACGGCGTAACTCGTTGTTCGTCATTGACACGGATCTTGCAGGCGCCGGCGAGTTGTTGACGGAGCGTCCGAGGTCAGGTTGTGATCCAGAGTGCGACACTTTGCGCTGATGACCGAAGCTGCTGCGGTGTGCGAGCGATGATCCCGGCCGATCCGCATTATTGTTGGCATCCCATTCAGCAAAATCAGCTGAACTCCATGAAGTGCGATGTGGTCTGGCGCGGCGCGGCAAGCTACCAACAGAGTAGCGCGAGCTGACACTATCTGTCCGGGTTCGTCGGGTGGTGGTAGTACCTGGCGCAAATTGTACCACTGAAGCATTGGCCGGCCGAATGATATCTGCAACCTGGTCTTCTTCGTCATCATCCTCAATCTTGCGAGTCCGGCGAACGCTGTTGACCGAGAAATATGGCTGCGGTGGCTCCCGAGGCTCTTCAATCTTCGGATCTGGTTTCGGTGGTGGCGGCAGGTCAGTAGCTCTAGCCTGGATATGCTCGTAGTACTTGATGCGAATTCCATCCAGCACTTCGGGGAATTGTTCGCGATTTCGGTAAAGCGACATCCATGATGATATGACACCTAGGACAATAAGAATCAAGACGGCAACAACAAGGAATCCTTGGACGACAATGATGATAATGCCGAAAACCGTCGAGAGGATGCGGCCAATGGCGAATGCGGGTAAGAAGGCAATAGAGAATCCTGCAGTGACAATCTTTGTGATACCCAACATCCAGATTGCCAAGGAAGTGTTCCTCTGGCCCTCGAAGGGGTTAAGCTTGACAAAGACGACGAAAGCGATGATCTCGAAGACGAATAATCCATAAACCTGGGCAAGAGGGCTTCGTGCTCCGCCACCAATGAAGCAGGCCCGAATGAACTGGTAGCTTAGCCAGCAGGCGAAGAACCACCATCTGGTCCGGCGGTAACGAGCCGATAGCCAACCAAAACGCTTGATGTAAACCTCGTCTTGGTGGACCGTTGTCCGGTTTGGGTCGTCGTCAATGAATCGGATCTTGAAGAACGGCATAGATCCGTAACGTTTGGCGGTGGTTTCCTTTTCGCCAATTTCGCTGGCACGCGTTGTTGCAACCGCTGGTATTGAACCAAAGAGCTTGCCCTGTTCGAACATGATCGTATCGGGGCCCATTTCATACTTGCCGAGGCGGAGACGGAAGAAACATGCGTAAGCTACAAGGCCGCCAACGCCAATGAGCAAGATGATGAAGATGATCGCTGCAATAGCTGTTGGGCCGGCCGGCGCGCGAATGTTGAACTGGAATAGTGCCAGGGTCATCAAGGAGGAGAACGAAACGAGTAGCGTGCGCAGGATACCAACCGCCAGATATCCGCCCAGGTGGTTGCGGAAGTACAAGAAGCGATCCTGCTTGATCAGCTTTGTCCGAGCAAGCAAGTCGAGCATGAACTTGAATGCAGCGATGGAGACGGCAACCAGTCCAATGGCCACCAACCACCAGATAAGACCAAGTGTGAAAGCATCGGCGGCCGGAATGCCAAGGGCAGAAAGATCTCCGGCGAACCCAATCCACTTGCCTGGCGTAGGCATGCCCGGAGCGACGGGGTCTCCCGCCCAGTAGTATTCGTATGGGTTGCTTGTGTTATAAACCCTAGTCGCACGCTGCACGAGATTCGGAACGGACGCTCCATCGCTAGACGTCGAGAAAGTGTCGAGCGAGCGGCCATAAATTTGCTGGACGAGGCCACCCCCGGTGTTGATAACGGTCGATCCTGCACCACCTACTTGGCTGGCGTTACCAGTCACGCCGGCGAAACCGTCGATCGAGTTGATTACTTTCTCGCTGTATATCATGCCGGCAGCCCATCCAAAGTTGCTCCACCAGGCGGGTAGGACGCTAGGCCAGTCGACGGACAAGGCACCCGAGAAAAAAACGGTCTGATAGGTCTCGAAGATGACCAGGACTGACAGAGAATGGGCGTAGTGTGTCCTGATATGAGGCATGCTAACACCATACATGGCGGTTGCTGCAGAAGCCAGGATAGCGGCGAGCGTGAACACGCCCAGTATCGACGAAATCGCGGCTGGATGGGAGAAGCTGTTGCCGTTCCGCATGACGGCTTGAAAACATCCTATCTGCGTCTGACTCGAGTTTGCAAAGATCTGGATGCGCGCAGAACCTTCGAAATCGGGAATATCGAGGGCGATGGAAGGAATGCCGTCGATCTGAGCAGGCGTGAGCCTGAACTCTGCAAATGCAGTGATGGGCTTGCTGGCGTTCAGAGGGCACAGACTGCGGGAAGTTAGCAGGCCGTCTTGAGAGGCGTAGGGGCTAGAACGCACCTAGCGATGTTGGCCATGCAGGGGTTAAAGTTCATCTCGAATCTCGTCTCGCCATCTGCCTCAAGTCAGCATACCCCATCTCTGCGTACAGGTTCGTCCCAAGTTCTGAAGGCAGCTTACAAGCTTCGACGTTGATATGCACTGCAGTATATGATTAGTACATGGACACAAGTTCGAATTTGGTTCAACCTACTCATCAACGATTCATTTCTGATATTGGTGGTACCGTCCAAATGGAACTGGACGGTCATGTTGTCGGCATAGTAGGCGGCATCGAATTTTGTAATGTTGAACAAACTTTGTCCTCCCAGACAGTCGCCAAAATCGCCAGTAAACAGGCCAGGATTGCGATTGACCGCGAGTTGCTTGCTGTTGCCATCTTTATCTGAGCCGGTGATGTAGACAGTTTCCGTGGCTGCCAAGACCGTAGCAAAGAAACTGAACAGGACAATCAGGGTCGCGGCGAGCGAGGTCGAGCCTCCGAATCGGGCCATCGTGGGCGGTTGGCGCAAAGGAGCGACCGGGCGATTCGGGAACTCCTGGGCTGGTAGGCCCGAAGGATGCTGATGGGTGTGCACCGAAGACGGCGA